TGGAAACGTTGTTGAGATGGGTTCTTACAATAGTTTAGACCAGATACATTGGCGAAAGTGGTCGCTTATTACAGGTGTTGTATGTTGTTTCGGACCAAAAATCGATGCCCGCGGTTGCGTTACACAGGTGGTCGTTTAATAAAGGTAACTTATACGAAGACTCTATGGATAAACTATTCCGTGCCAGAAATTTTCGCCCGTTTTGACAGGTGCCCATCGAATGCAGGTGGTCGCCTAAGCAGTTTTTACTGTACTTTTTTTGACAAACGATGTATAATTGGGAACGATGTAACTCAAAACGACGTAAGTCGAGATATACCTTTAGATGTGTACCTTTCATATGTCCCTTAATTGTATCATTGTTACACTATTTTAAGTTTTTGCATTTATATAAGCAATTATTAGTTCATTACTAAAGTCTGGATTTTTGGGTGTCACACCCACTCAGTTTTTGAAAGGGACTGAGTGTAAAAAGACCAACTACATTGGTTTTAGTGCAGTAGGCTTACCCATTGCCAAATTGTTTAGTGCCCAAAATGCACCCAAAATGGTGACTAGCACCCAAACTATATATTTTGCACCCAGTTTCCCCTTTTTACATTTTCAAAGAATATGTTGGCAAGTATTTCTTTTTTTGGTGGTTTTTATTCATTCACTTCATGGAAAAAACGAATTCGTTAAACTGGACCATGTATGCTGAGAAAAAAATACAATAATTAGCTTACTCTTTTCTTTTGTTGAGAGAAAAGATGGTAAAGGGAAATTTTCTGGACTAAACAACTAAGCCGTAGAGTTTTTCTAAAAATGTAAACAGATTCACTGAAAATTTGCAACATGTGTTTTCTTTTCTAAGAAAAGAACAATCTAGAAAATTCTGTATTGAAGTCACCTTACCCTGACTTGTAAGCACGACAGTTCTAATTTCCTTTGTTCTGTATCGGTGACATTAGAAAATGGCAAAATTGTCCACATCTAAACTGAACATTTTAGCAAATAAGTTTAAAGATGAAGGCATATGCACAGACAGTAAAGTTCTTTGCTGTTCCATTTGTGATTATGTGATTTCAGTTGAAGTGAAACACCAAGAAACAAAAATCAGGCGACATATGAGTTCAGAAAAGCATAGAGAAGGCAAACAGAAAAGGAGGAATTTTGAGCAGACATTTATAGGGACCTCATTTCAAAGAGGAGGAGAATCTCAGAAGGCTAATAATACATTTTATGCAGATTTAATAACTGCTCTTCTGTAGGCAAATATATCTTCATATAAGGTAAACAATTCAGCCTATAAGTCATTCCTCCAGAAATATACGGGAAAGCTTGTCCCTGACAAGAGCACTTTTAGAAAAAAACTACACGAAACCAGTTTATGAGCATACAATATCTAAAATCCTGGACGTTGTCAGAGTTAATCCTGTAATGTTTATATTGGACGAAACAACAGAATCCACAAAATGGTACATGCTGAATGTTCTTGTTGCACCACTGACTGGATACTATGTACAACCAATGTTGTTCAAAATGTACCAACTTGAAAATATGAACTTAACTACAGTGTCCCAAGTTTTCAATGATGTTTGCATCAAGTTATGGCCAAATGGTGTCCAGTACAAAACAGTGTGGCTTGTCGTTACAGATCAAGCATCTTACATGTCAGCATTCTCAAATTTGAAGTGCATCTACAACAACCTAAAGCATGTGACTTGTCTTGCCCATGCCCTACATTGAGTATGTGAATGTATTCGTGTAGAATCAGCAAGGCCAACAACTTCATTTCGGAAATGGTTCTTCTCAAATGCCCTAATCGGGAATGCTTGTACCAAGACATAACTGGGCTGCCATTACCACCCAGTCCAGTGGTCACCCATTGGGGTCTTGGATAAACGCTGTGGTATTCTACTGCAAGAACTTTAAGGAAATTAATGCGTTTATCTATGAACTTCCTCTTGGCGATTCTGCGGCCGTCGACAGTGTCAAGAAACTGGCCGTTGATCCAGTAGTGACCACAGAGCTCTACTCCATGCATTTGTACAATTTATTGGTAGATAAAATCAACGAGCTGGAAAGACGTGAAACTGAAATGTGAGATCAGGGGAATGTTGTAAGTCAGGCACTTGATGTACTGGACAAACTCAGATCTAGTTTATCAAAAAATACTGATTTGAAAAATATTTTGGATTGCACTGAACTAGAATTCCAAGTAAAAATGAAACATGCCCCCTTAGTATTGGTCGACATAGAAAAATCTTTTTCCTTATATAAAGACAACCTATCCTCCAAACATAAAAACTTCACTTTTAAGAACATTGAAATGGTTACTGTTGTAAATTACAATGCTCATCTTTATGTGTAAATTGCAATAAACAACTATGTAGTTTGTAAATATAATACTTCTTGGTTTTTGTCTTAATAATACAGCATTTAAAATCACCCAAACTAGCACCCAAATGAGCACCCAATCTATTTTAAAAATGCACCCAAAAATCTGGACCTTAATCATTATACACTATATTACAAAAATTTTATAAATAATATTAGAGTAAAATAATTGAACAGTCAAAAAGTAAACACTTTTAGAAAGAAGATTTAGAAAGAATTTTACATCTATTATTAGTAGAAAGAAAATTTCAAAACAATTATTCTCCCCATATAGGTGGAGGGGTTTTTTTACGTTTCAGAGAGAGGATGATTTGGTGATTTTGGATCTATAAATCTCACTGACACTTCTCAATCTCAACTTTGTAACATGACCCTTTAGGCTACAACTGTCTGTAGCTGGTACTAGTTTGAAAGGAATAATGACAGATTGAAATTTGATATGTTTATTTATAATAAAATATTACATTTCAATAAAAATATATAAAATTAATAATAAAAATAAAAGTAAAAATGATTCTGTACTGCTTTATTTAGGAGTATAGAAAAAATTCAAAAATGGCTTAGTACAGCTCATCTTCAGAAGCAGAAGCAAGAAAAAAAGATTTGAATACATTCACAAAAATCCAATAGTTCAAAAACCATCTATGGTTAAGAACACTTAAGACTTTACAGTTTAAAAGCTACAATGATTTGCATTTCTTAATGAGAAATAGCAAATTATCAGCTCTTGTTTTTATAGACTTTTGGAAAATATAGTGAACAGGAATCACAGAAAGATGATTACCACTGAAGAGAAGCAGAAGGCAGTCTTTCACTTTATATTGGGTTGGAAAGCAGGTTGCTATAAATACTTGAGTTTCATCTTACCAACAAAAAGATTGTCTTTAAGAGAAATTTAACCTGTTTGACTATTAAGGAATGATAAAGGGAAGAGGAAGCAAAGAGGAAAAGCCAGAGTCTATGAAAGGATAAAGAAAAAAATGAAAAATTTTGTATAGGTCTGACTTGAAGGTTATTGAAAATTAGACTGAGAGAACATAAAAATTATGGGAGGAAAAAGAGAATCTACAGCATTAGGAAAGGAGGAAAAAAGGACAGAAGTCTAAAAGAGGGAAGCATGATGGAATGGAAGAGAGCCCATATATTGCAGGAAATTATGGAAAAAGAGAACATAGCTGAGGCTGAAAGACATTGAATTTTTAAGGAAGATATACACAAGTGAGTAGTTAAAGTCAGAGACAGAAACCCTTTCTAACATGTGGAAATGGTATCTATGACATAAGAATACATGTGAACAATAAAGCACAGAGTGCACAGGGACCCTAGATGTACATGTACCATTCACTAAACTTATAATTGGACTTTGGTTTTTGTCAAACTCTGTAAATTTTTGGAATGCTACTTCATCATAGCATTTAAAGTCTTAAGTGTTCTTAATCAGTGAAAGTTTTTGAACTATTGAAATTTTGTGGATTTGTTTGTATGTAGTGTTTTGTGTTGCCTTGAAAGATAAACTGTTTAGCTTGGAAATATCATACTGAGAAATTTTTGAATTTTTTCTTTATTCCTAAAGAAAGCAATGTGGAATCATTCATTTACAAGTTAAATATAAAATCTATATATATATAAATGGACGTGTATGTCCCTATATTTCACTTTTCTGCAAAAACTACACATCGCACGTGAATGGTGTTTGTATGTGGTAGTAGCCCCAAGTCTCCATTCGTGCACCAGGGGGTTGCGTCTTGATAGCTATAAGGATGCGGGAGATATGAGGCTGAAAGTGGTTGAAAGTGGCTTTCTATTTCGAATGTTTTGTTCGAATTTGTTCGAATTAAATTCGAACATAAAATTCGAATATTGGTTCGATTATAGAACGATTGTAAACGTTCCAGAAACGTTGAAAATAGTTCGTTTGACTAAACGTAAAAATTCTCTAATTAGTCTGGAAACGGGGGACCTAATTCTTGCATTCTGTGAAAACGGGTAAGATTAGCTATAATGTAATTATCTTAATCTTCACTATCGTTACTTTTTGCCCAGCGAAGCGGGTCCTTGCAGCTAGATTCTAGATTACTTAGAAAAACAGTCTTTTATATATATAAAAAAAACTATATTACATACAAATAAAAACCCAGCGAAGCGGGTCCTTGCAGCTAGTAATTTATAAAATTAATAATACTAAAAATCTACAAGTGTTTTATATTCATAGAAGTGTCAGAAATGATGGATATGCAACATATTCATATTTTTTGTGTGATTATAGTTTATTACAATTTTTAGTAAAAAAATTGTCTTTTCGCATTTGGTGTGTTTGTTTATAATAAAATATTAAATTTCAATAAAAATATATTTTATTGAAATTTGATTCAATAAAAATAATAAAATTAATAATAAAAATAAAAGCAAAAATGATTCTATACTGCTTTCTTTAGGAATTTAGAAAAAATTCAAAAATGGCGTAGTACTGTACTTTTGAGATAACAGCTCATCTTCAGAAGCAGAAGCAATAAAAAAATTAATAATACTAATATTTAATAATAATTAAATGATCTAATAATTGTTATAATACAACTCCTAACATTATTTTTTCATGTGACTACTACACAGTTAAAACAAATATCAGCTAAATGCTTAAATATAAACTGAACTGTTTTTATGTGGATAAATCCTAAATAATTTAATGATAGCTTAAAGATTAACTATGCTGTTGGTTTAATATCACTTCAATACATCCAAATTTCTAGTTTATTATTTTATCATTAGGGATATTTTTACTCAATGAAATTTTTTCCTGTATTGTGTATACACCAGTTATGAAAAAGCTGATAATGCATAAAGAAGAATTGTTTATAAGAGTTTTGGGAGGTGTTAATGAACGTTCTTTTCTTTTGCTCTCATATTTTGATGTTTCACATTTGATTAAAAAAAAAAAAAAACATTATGTAGAAAATTTGTCTAAAATTTAAAAAAAAATAGACTCAAGGGAATTTTATGAAACATTATTTTAATATTACGGGTGTTTAAATAAAGTAATAATAATAATAATGCATTTTTAACAAAGGTACAGCTTTATAAACTTAATTATTTTCATCAAACAATAACATATCCTATATTACATATTAATAGTATATTAAATATAGTAAATCAGTTCTATCATTTTTTATTTTAAAAGTTATATTCATGAAATTGAACTAATTTTATTATTTTAATTACATGAACTTTTACATTGTAATTTCAGTCATGTCCAGATAATTATGAATCCATTAATATTTACAAATTAATATAAAATAGCTAAACAGTTTTATTTCTCAATTTTAGATCGTAAAAAAGTTCTCAGGCATCATCCTGACAAAAGAAGAAACAGAGGTGAAGATGTTCAAGATCTAGATCATGATTATTTTTCTTGTATAACTAAAGGTATTATATATTTTAAAATTTGATTTGGAATTTAATTTCATACTTTAAAATAGAAACAAGGCTAGTCAAAATTTTAAAAATAATTTATTAAAAATTAATTATATTTATATTTAAATTAAGTTACATAAAACTGCAGAGAAAATAGATTAGTTCTTTAACTAGTATTTTTTGGAATGTTCTCAATAAATTGCTAATATAGTTAGTATACAATAGCCCCTCATTATATTGTGCTTGTTGGGAAACAAAGAAAAAGTGTGATATATCCAGCGGCACAATATAAATGAGTACTAAAAATTCTGGGCTTTTACTAAACAGATTATATATGCTATGGAATCTCTATCTTCTATTCTTTCATCAGCAAGTGTTTCTAATACAAGATAAACTTAGTTTGCCAATGCTGAATTTTATTTGTGATTGTATTGTATTGGGTTGAACCAAAAGTTCATTTGGTTTTTAGAAAGAATTAAAATATACTATTTTGAAATAAATAAATCCCTTTAATCCACATTGTATTCACCCTTCTGTTCGATAACCTTATGCCACCTGACAGGTAGTTTCATAATTCCATCTGTGTAGAATTGGGTGGGTTTCTGATTGGAGAAATTATTGATGTGATTTTTTTATACCTTTTACAGATTGAAATTCTAAATTATTCTGCAATGAATGAAAAAGATGATAATCTGAGGGAGCAATATGCAGGGTGATTCAAAACTTCCCAGTTTAAAGTCTAGAAGTTTTTGGTGCACGTTTAATGATATGTGGGTCTTGTGGATTTGCAAGTTCCAAACGTTTTTGATGCACTGCAGCCTTTAGTTCATCCAGTTGGAGATAATATTTATTGGAATTAATTGTTTGGTTGTTGGGTAAAAGCTTGTAATAAAGAATCCCTTTCCAGTTTCACCAAACTGAAATCATTACTTTTCTGGGATGCAAACCAGCTTTAGGTTGCAGCACTGGAGGATCCCCTGGCTTACTCCAAGATCTCTTGCGGTGAATATTGTTGTAAACAATCCATTTTTTATTGCCTGTTATTAATCGCTTTAAAAAGGGATTGTCTTCATTGTGTTTTAAAAGTGAATCACATACAGAAACACACTCAATAAGGTTTTCACTTAATTGATGGGGAACCCAAACATCATAACAGGAAGTGTATCAAAGGCTACCCAAATGTCTGACAACAGATGTTTGGGATATTTTTAAGATGTCTGCTATCTCTTGTGTTGTTTTATGCTGATCATTTTGAATTAAAGCCATTATGGACTTACCTTCTATGGTTGAAGGCCATCCTGACTGAGATGCATCTTTAAGAGATAAATCGCTCTCTCTGAATTTTGAAAACCATTTCTGGCAATTCAATCAGTAACAGTATCCTCTCCATATACAGCACATATCTTTTTTGAGTTTTTGTCACATTTTTTCCTTTTTGGAAATAATAGAGCATGAGATATCAAAAATGCACCTTCTTATGTTCCCTTTTAATGTTTTTTTTTTCCTTAAATATAACAAAATTTTAAAAAATAGCTGTAACTAAACTTATGTAATAAATATGCAAATATTCGTAATGTCAACCTAAACAAGTTAAAACCTTATAAGCATGACAGAGGAGCCACAGATGAGCAATTATGTAAATACCTGAACAAACTTTTGGTTCACCCCAATATTAATTGATGTTTACGTAAACATTGATATCACAAACATCCATTTAGCATTATTGTTTCTTTAACAATGACATTTAAAGACAAATACTGTTGATATAAAAACAAAATGTCAGTTTTGATTTTATTATACAGTATTATATTTCATAGTAAATCATTTACTCGCTATAACTTCTAAACAAACTGCACTTACTATCATAAATCAAGAAATCACTTGCTCCAAGAAAACCTTTAACATGCAGCTTAATTTTGCTACCAACTATTATATATTAATAAATACAACAAAAACGGGCAAGCCATAAATTTTTGGGAATCATGTAAACTAGCATCGGCATGGAAAGCGGCGGATTTGCAAATTTAAAGAACAAGATGACGTAATCGAATCTAAGATGATTTGATTTAAAGATAAGCATTCTAGAAGCTTTCCGTTAAGAAAAAGAACTTTCATCTCAAATGAAGTTTTTTGTCTTTCTGTTAAGAACGAACCTGAAGAAGGTCATTGAAGCTGTCTGAAAACGTTAGTTGGTAGCTAAATTAAGCTGCATGTTAAAGGTTTTCTTGGAGCAAGTTGATTTATGATAGTAAATCATTTATTAAAAATTCGTGTAATTTATATTTTTCAATAAAAATTATAAATACAGTACAGTGGTACCTCAGGATATGAAATTAATTCGTTCGAAACAGATCGTATCATGAAAATGTCGTAAGGTGAATCATTTTTCCCCGTACGATTACATTTAAAACCAAATAATTTGTTCCAACATGAAAAACACACTCAAATTAAAGCTAAGTAGTACATTAAAAAAAACCATAGTAAGGAAAACACTGAAAAATGTTATTTTGTAATTGTAAATGTATAAATAACCATAATAGAATAATAATTGATAAAAAAAAAAATCTAGTTTTATTTGCACTTTACCTTTGAGGATAGATGACGGTGGAGGTGTAAAATGGTGGCGGAAGAGAAGGAGAAGGGAAATGATACTAAAACTTAACTTACATAACATAATGTAACAATAACTTAAAAAAAACTTAGAAAAGATTAAAAAATTAGTGTTGTTTTATATATATTTAAAAAAATTTTTATTCACTGCTTTTTGCTTTCTTTCCTTCACTTCCACCAGCACTTTCACTGGATAGAGGTCACTTAGTAAAATATCTGTTCAAAGAGGTTTGGCTTTGCCTACTTTTTAAAATGTTTCTAAAATGACTTAGGCAAATGTCATTGCTCCGAGCATCAATACGGCCAGTGTGAACCTTTTTGGGATGTTTCTTTTCAATAAAATCAGTCACTTTTTGATAATACCTCAAGATTTCCTTTATCAAGCGAGATCCTTTTATGACAAAACAAACACGCTGACTGAGACCAATGAACAGAAGTGAATAAAAAATGGTGCTGCGAACTAATGTAACGTCGTATGGTGAGTTTTTGTTCGTACCGTGGAACAAAAATATGTTCAAATTTCATGTCGTATCCTGAAAATTTTGTATGCTGGGGCGTTCATATCCTGAGGTACCACTGTAATTGAAAATTTTAAAAATAAATATTGAACATATAATAGAACATCAAAACTTATAAAATTACAAAGAGTAAAAGTTCTCTAAAAAGCAAAATAAAGTTACTATTATATAAACATTTTAGAACTTTCTGTTCAAAACTCTTTTCTTTACATCATATTCAGTGAATTGGAAATTTCATACCTTAATGTGAATTTACTGTATTGCATCAATTCACATAAAGTGTGAAATTTCAAATTCGCAGAAACCTGTAAATGTGGAGATTGTACTTAAAACCACTAAATAAACAACTTTTAATATCAAAAGTAAACAAATGATAATTGATCTGTGAACCTATTTTTCTTATTTAGATCTTGACAAATTTATTTGTTTCACCTGCAGTGGTAGTTTCAAGAACAATGATAGGAATAAAATATTGTATTTTGTTGCAAGAAGAAAATTCAATAGCAATTGGTAATTTGAAATTTATTGACTCAAGTGCTTTTAAAATTTGGGGTACCAAAAAAAAAACAATATATCCAAATCCGTGACATAACGAGGTGTGATATAACAAAGGGCTATTGTACTTTGAACATTCAGCCTGATAGAGAATGATATTTATAATTAGTTGATTTTCATTATATACATAATAAGTATAATTTTAAATAACTATTATAATTATAAATAAATAAAATTACTTATTTAATAAATTTATTATATAAGCGATATGTATTATAAGTATTATTTAGATTACAAAATTATACATATTCTAAAGTAGATAAATTTTCTGGTTTGAACTGCTACAGATAGCTCATCTATAACAGTTTTATTAGTGTTGAACAAGAATTATCATTATTAGTTGATACATTGAGTATAAGAATTCAAACTACAGAGTACAACCATCAGGATTAAACTAAGATAGATAGAATCAAACAATGTGGCTGTTAGAATTCTATATTGATACAAAAATTTATCTTTACTTTTTTACTTTTTTTCATTTGCATTAATTTATTATTGAATAAACAAATTACTTTTTTTTTTAACTGAGTGTCTGGTGAATGAGTAAGAAAAGCTAGTATTATAGCATAAAATGTTAAACCGGAAATCCTGATAATTAAATTTTTATAATTTATTAAATATAAATGTGTAAAATTTTCCAGAAATTAAAATTCTTTATGATTCTGGTTGTTTGATAAACAATATACTGTAATATGGACATTCTGATATATCCTGATACATGGATGTCCAGGCCCATGTTGTCTATGGGTCTATTCATGTATCTGGAAAATAATATATCAAATGGTAGTATATATAGTAGGTGCACTGGTGCACTGTTATTAGGGCCTTCTATATTAGAAATTTTAATTTCTTACACATTCATAGAGCATTTTATTCTATTTAACTCAGAATTAACAGAAAAGGGCAAGTTGTCTATTTTATTGTTGAATTATAAAAAATATAGAAGGTACTAAGTGCATTATTAACATCAATGCATAGTTGTAACTTTATTTATGAGGCATAAATGAATCTTTGTCTTTCCACATGCTACATTAAGTTAGGTTGTCTAGTGACTGGTGGCATTTTGAATCTAGCTGTTTCATCTTTTAAGCACTGTTTTGGATAAGATGGGCAAAAAAAGTTTCTTGAAGATGGACATACAGAAAGAGTATGCAAATAAAGTTCACATATACTGTAGCTTACATTTTTAGATAATTTTTCCAGTTATAAATGCTAATTATAGGTTAAATTACTTTCTAGCCCATACTTTGCACAGGAACATTTAAATAAATGCCTCAAACATAAGGAATCATGAAGGGAAAACACAAAAGATACAAATTACACAAAACAATAGTAATTGTCTAAGAATTATTGTTAAAGACAATTAAGCCATTGCATATTTTTTTCATATATCATCCTGTTCATTATGTGAATAAGATGTGTACAAGATGAGTGAAAGTGCCTTAAACTTTTAATTTCTTTTACCTAAGATATGCTGTTTGGAGTTAATAATGGAGTATTGTGTGATGATATTCATAAATTTAGAAAATTATATTATGGTAATTTGTCAATCTATTCTTTTTTTGTATGTGAATTTATTAATTTTAATGATTTCTATTTCTGAAAACTTATAAAAATATAGTTTTTCAGAAATATACTATAAAAATAAATTTTAAATTAATAAAATATAATCTTTTTAGCTTATGAAATTCTTGGAACTGTACAGAAACGACAATCTTACGATAGTGTTGATCCAGAATTTGATAATGATATACCATCTGTAAATGCAAATTCTAAAGAGAATTTTTTTAGTGTATTTTCTCCTGTTTTTGAAAGGAATGCCAGGTAATGTTTAAATTATAAATTTATTAAATATAAATTAATGATTGGTTAGAGTAGTTATTTTTGCTTTCTAAATATTAGTAAAATTTATTTTATTGATGTGTAGAGATAAGAATTTGTTTTATAATATATAAATATTTTAAAGTATAGTAAGTACTTTGTAAGCTATATATGTTTTAACATGATAAAGAATAAATGAAATATGGTATATGATAGTCTTATACTTAGAATATAGCATTCCATTAATGATAATTATTGTTGACTGTGGTTGTTATCAGAAGTTATTTTAGAGTGCACCAAACATGCTGCAGTCTACAATGATATCTAAAAATGAAGTATTTTGTTTGGCATTGATATTTATCAAACTTTGGGAAAGCATTGCATTTTTTTTTGTTTTGTTAGTTGACTTTATTGTTAACAGGAAAAGCATGATGTCAGGCAAGACACTACTAAAATGCATTGTGATGAAAAATTGCAGCCTATCGTTGTGATGTAGTCACAATAAATAATTGCTCATTATTATTGTATTTAGTAATAAAATTAAGATTATAGAATGTGTGTAAATGAAATTGATTTCTCTTTTCTATTTTGAATTATAAGGTATTTTATGTAAGATTGAAGTCATAAAGCCGTTTAAGTTTCAATGGTTTTGAAAATATTTCCTTGTTTGTTCAAACTTTTAGGTTTTATAAATTATAAAAAATAAATAAATGAATTTTGGCACAAGTGGATTAGTAAATAATTTTTAAAGAAATTTTGTATGTAAATACAAAATGAAATTGACAAAATCATCTAACGATCTGAAAAGTATTTTAGAAAAGAGTTGATTACATTTATAAAAAAACTTTAATATTTTTCAAAGTAAAATGGATTCCTGAATAATTTTGAAACAGTCTGTTTTATTTATGGTTGTCAGTTTACATTTTCTAATAGTTAAATTTCAATAATAAAAACTGAAATTGAAGTAAGTTATTTGTTATGAATGGAAATTGGCATGAATCGGTCTTAATAGAAATATACTCAATGTACAGTACATTTCACACACAGAACTAATTATCAATAATGCATAATTTTATTTCATTATATATGGGCCTACAGTGACTCCAGTTTTTGAAAAATTTAATATAAATATTTAGGTCGCAGAATCATTACAAATATATTGGATCATGTTAGCAAAACATTTGAGAAACACTATACTAGTATATTTATTTTTTCTAGTTGAACACACCAAGAGTGTGTGCATTACAAATGTTAATTATTATTAGTTTTTGGAAAATTTCATGACATTGGACTCTACTTATTGAATATTGAAATTATTTTCAGATAGAACAAGCAAATATAAAAAAATTTAAGATAAATGAATGGTGGTTCTTTAAGATAATTATTTGTTATAGAACTATTGTAACTAATAAAAAAAATTGTGTAATAATTACATTTTATTTGTTAGGTGGTCTACAAAAAAGCCTGTTCCACTTTTAGGTGGAGAAGATGCAGATTTTGATGCAGTTGATAGGTTTTATAAATTCTGGTAAATATAATTCTTTTTATACATTACAATAATAATAATAATTTAGTTTTAAACTTAATTATTATTATTATACTTGTTATAGAATATACAATGCTAGGTTTTTAATAAATAGGATTAATGTTTTAATGGTTAGCCATTTTAAACAAAAACAATGTTTCCACTTTTTCTATGACTCCTGGTCCAAAACAAGCAACTTAGAAATTCAATAAATTACAATAATTATCACACTTATGTTTCTCTCATATGAAAGTAAACATCTACATTTTCATTTAAGTTTTTCTTTTTGTTTAGTTGTTGATGATGAAGGTGATTTTTTTTAATAATAGACAAATGAGGCATTGTTTTCAAAATTAAACTGTTATTTTGATTAAAGAAAAATGTTTGTTTTTAAGGTGTATTTGTTGTTAATAAATACATGGATACAAAGTATATAAAATATGATGTACAGGGTGACACAAGAAAAGATAACTTGAAGCACAAGAGAGAATATATCATACACTTTACTAAAAAGTAAGTAATGTGTTAAGTGAAATTCCTTCTATTGCATATTGAATACGAAGTGTGTCTGAAAAGTTTGGTGAATGGTCTCATAAAATAAAGGAAACGAGATACAAACAAAATACCTTTACTGGCATTCAAAGTAATCGCCATTAGTGACAACACACATTTGACATTGGTTGTACAGCTGCTGGAAGCTGTGAGTAAATGCTTCTTTCGGTATCGCATGAAGCACCATTGTCACATGTTGTTGGATCTGCACAATGTCAGAAAAGCGTAGGCCTTTCAGGACTCCTTTGAGGCGGAGAAACAAGAAGAAATCTGCAGGTGCCAGATCTGGAGAATATGGAGAGTATTGAAGAACTGTCACCTGGTGTGCAGTGAGGAAGTGCCGTAAACGGCTCGCATTGTGTGGACAGGCGTTGTCATTGAGCAGAGTCCACTGTCCACTCTGGTACAACTGTGGCCAAAGTTGCTGGATGTGTTTCAGAAGCCATTTCAAAACTCCCTCATAGAATTCTGCATTGATGGTTGTATCATTGGGTAAAAATTTATGATGGATCAAGCCCTCACTATCGAAAAGTCAATCAACATCATCTTAATCCTGGATTTGGTGAGACAACATTTTTTGGGAGGGGGATGACCATGAACATCATTCCATGGACTGTCGCTTGGTCTCCAGATCGTACTGGTAGCACCATGACTCATCCCCTGTAATGATTGTTTCCAAAAACTGTGGATTCTGGTCACATGCGTCGATGAAATCTCCAGAGGTTTCCATCCGGTGTTGCTTTTCCTCGTCTAACAGTGTGTGCAGTACAAACCAGGCATAAATCTTATGCTTTTGCAAATGTTCGTGAACAATGGTGTTCACACTGTTCTTGCTTATCTTCAAATCTTCTGTTATCATTCTCAAAGATAGGTGCCAATCATCTGCAAGCATCCGTCGCACTCGTTCGATGTTGTCTGGAGTTGTGCTTGTTGACGGTTGACCAGAACATGACTCATCATCAATATCTTCCTTTCCGTCTCTGAAGCGTTTAAACCATTCAAAAACACACTTTTTACTCACTGTTTCCACACCATACACTTTCACTAACATTTCATGTGTCTCCATTGCCGTTTTGCCTAATTTAAAGCAAAACTTGATGTTCACGTGTTGCTCGATTTTGCAGTGACACTCCTTCTCACGCTGACTGCATTGCATTGTTTGTTGCGTGCACTTCCGTTTAACTGTCATGATTTCGACACTAGGGGGCACTAGTTGGCAAGTCTTTCACTACATCTGCGTGAGTGCAACATCCTAACCAGAACGGTTATTCAACTATGGGACCATTCACCGAACTTTTCAGACACACCTTGTATTATCATTCAATGCAACACATTCCTAGTGTAGGCTGTCTGAAATATTGTTCCCTAACAGTTTTCCGCAGATTACACCTGGAGGTATCAGGATCAGGTCTGGTGACAGAGGTGGATCAGGAAATGACATATCATGCAAAATTGGCATGCAAGAAATTCAAATTTTTCTTACCTGTGTGACATATTAATGTTTCATACCCACTTCAGTACATACATGAACAATAAATATATATATTTTTTCTAATTCATAATCAACTTCAGAATGAATTCAGTAATATAGTCGAAAATTTTATAAATACCAAATTCTTAAAACTGCACATCAAAAATGAGATTGTTTTTAATTGCAAAAGAAATAAATTTTGTGTGGTTATTTCCTTAAAGTAATCTTAGCAAAACTTGATATTTTGAGACTTGATGAATTTGAGTTAAGTAGATTTATGAGTCCAAGTGTATGTTTACATTGGTTTCCATTGGTATCTACAATATGCTCAATGAAAAGTCTATATATTTTTAACAAAGTTCAAAAGTCTAAAATATTTTTGTCTACATTTAGTTACTTTTTATTTAGACCTATATATTGAGATTTTATACATTTAGCATATGTTACTAATTAAAATTAATTTCCTGTTTCGAAAACACCTCTTTAATTATGATTAACAAATTGTTGTTTGCAACAAATGCTTTTTTGTGATATTTCAATTGCACACAAAAGGAACCACTATTGTATGAAATAAAATATCTTAAACAGAAATAAATAGACTAACTATTTAGAAAATTTACTATAATTATCATAATATTTTACTCAAAGTTTGAAAAATACAAAGTTGATTTTTGACTCATCAAGTTTTAGATCAAGTATCAAATCCAAGTAAAAGTGAAGAGACTGAATGAATCCAAGTACTTGAAACTGAAAAATCTTGGTGATTACTTCTTATGAAATTACAGTATACATTATTTTAATAAATAGAGCTATTATAATGTAGATAATGTAAAAAAATTAAAATTATTATAGCTTGCATTATATTATACTATGCTTATTTAATATGTTTCACTTTAAACGATAAGAAATATTTTATAACTTTTATATTGTAAAATGTTTTGGTTGCTAGAAATAAAGATCTACTTCAATCAAATTATCATTTTAATCAGTTATTATATGTATCATAATACAATACTGCAATAGTATTTAGATATATTGAACTTTAGACTGTTTAATATTTTAATTAACAAAGATTCATGGAAATACAGGTAGTCATCCAAGTTCAAACATACCAAAATATAATACTGAGGAAATATTATATTATATATTTTTTATAGATGCGAATTTTTATAAATTGCAAGTTACAATTTATATTAATAATTTAAATATATAATATTTAAATTATTTTGACTTATCATTTTACTGGATTGACTAGCTGATGGTCATTAAGATCAGCAAAGCACCTACTCAAAAGGGTCTGGGGAGAAGACTGTATTTTGCAAATAGTATAGCAAAAGATATCAGAGAAAAATATTGATCATATAGAATTTTTTTCCAAATTTTGAGTCAAATATGTTTATGTAGAATGATATCTCTTAAAGGCAATGAATTATATTTGGATGACTATTGTTTGATTAATATTGGTTGTCAAACAAAATATAAAGATAAAAATCATTAAATATTTGAACTTTGATATAAAGCAAAGTTCAAATATTTAATGATTTTTATTTTTATTATTAAATTTGATATTTTGTTTTGCAAACCAAACACTTTCATCATCTGTTAGTCATTTATGTTCATATTGTAAATGCTTCATTATATATTTCTAGGTATGATTTTGATTCTTGGAGAGAATTTTCATATTTAGATGAAGAAGAAAAAGAAAGAGGAGAAAAGTAGGTTAATTAAAATTTTACTAGTCAGTTTGAAAATAAAATTAACCAAATAAAAAAAATCAGTTTTTTAGATTCAGAGTTTTTGTTTTTAATATATTTTTATAGTCGTGAAGAAAGAAGATGGATAGAAAAACAAAATAAAACAGCAAGACAAAGGAGAAAGAAAGAAGAAATGGCACGTATACGTCAGTTAGTAGGTGAGTTTTTAAATCATAAGTAATATTAAATAGATGTAGACACTAAGAACTCATGCCTGAATATTTTACTTTTTATTATGACTTTCTTCATTACTTGGATTTTCCTGTTATGTTATTACTTTTTTGGTTGTTATGTATATATAACAAGGGAAAGTATTGGAATCATGTTAAATTTGACCCTCCAAGTTTTTTGTAAATCTCCACATTTTGAGACTTCCTGAACCCCCAAAAAATTGAATGTGTGTTGGTGTTAGGACGAGGTAAAGATTAAGAAATGAAATTTTGAATAGTAGCTTGTGTATGAGGAGCATTGATGCTATTAAATTTTAGTTGTTAAAAGTTGAAGGATGAGGAGAAAGGGGTGTCATATGTCATATCTCAAGATAGATTTGACTTAATGTGGATTTTACTAGTTATTAACATTTACAATTTTTTTATAAAACTCATCAATACTCTCTAAATTAACCTTTTTGCCATTCGATAATTAAAAACATAAAAGGTTATAAGTAAAAAGGTTTCTTCTTCCAATAGTGAGACTAGTGATATTTATCACGTCTTTCTTAATTATCTTCAATTAACAGAGACCAAGATTAAAACAGTTTATTTTAATTAAAATTTATGTTTATATTTTGTTTTTAATTTATAAAAATTTAATACTATTTACATATTAAAAATATGTGANGAAAAGTATAGAAAGCATAGTCTGTCTTTTATGAAAATGGATATGTATATCATAAAAAAAAGTCAATATGTTTCAGTTAAAATTGGCTGATACTATTTACATATTAAAAATATGTGAAAGAAACCAAGTACATCTCTTCTCTGTCTTGTCTAATCACCAAGAAGAAATAGTCTTCTTTACAGCAATAAATTTTTATTAGAGGTTATGTGAACATTTTAAACTGTTTACCATATTTTTGCAGAGGTGGCATCTCTAATAAAAGGTTATCTTTGTAAAGGAAGACTTTGTTTCCAGTGGTTGGACATCACAGAGATGTGAAGACATATTTAATTTTTTCCACATATTTTTAATATTTGATACACCTTTTCAAAATCAAGAAGTTAAATATGTCTTCATATCTCTGTTGTATCTAACCACTGGGAATAAAGTCTTTCTTTACAGAGAAAATTTTTATTAGAGGCTATGCCTCTGCAAAAATATGCAAAATACAGTTGTCCCTCTATAGTCTGACGTTTTTTAATCCGACATGCTCAGTAGTTCGACGCACCTCCCGTCAAGGTACCCGTCCCCGTTACGTGTCTGCTTGCACAGAAGCGTGTCGCGATGTGAATCTCCCCATCCAATTCTTACTTGATGACACACATTTCATGTGTTTTATGTGAGCAGTTCTGTTCGAACAGTTGGAGTAGAGAATATTGTAAGTTACTGCTAGCAAAACAATGCGAAATATGTAATTATTTTCGGTAATCCGGACACTTTTGATAATCTGACACACCTTTGGTCCCATACCTGTCGGATTATCAAGGGACAACTGTAGTTCAGAATGTTTGCATGACTTCTAATAAAAAGCTGTCTCTGTAAAGAAAACTGATTTTTCCTGGTGATTGCACATGACAGAGATGAGAAGACTTACTTTTTTCCACATATTTTTAATGTGTAAAATATCTGCCATTTTAGTTGAATTTATCTGTATCAAATATGTTGAAGGTTTGTTATCAATGACCTATTTCAATAATAGACAAATGGATAGATGGACAAATTCTGATGACTACATTGAAATTTAATACAAAGTACACTAATAGTATTGTATCAAAATTTTTTGTTGTTAAAGAAAATAAAAATTCTGTTTTAGCTATATAGTAATTGTAAATACATATTTAATTGTACTAACTATATTATTATTTGGTTACAAAACAAAATCTACTGTAGTTCCCAGCAAAATACCATATGAAAATTTTTTCATATGGTATTTTGCTAATTGCAAAAACCTGAGAAAAAATAAACGGCACAACTGAGAGCTGCTGAAAGAGACAAATGCCATGACATTTATTTGGTAATATATGATAATTTACTGTATTCATATACTTGAAATTTTTATAATGTATTGTAACAGGATGTAAATAATAATGTGAAAAATTAACAAAATTCCATAAGCAAATTTTCTGCAAATAAAATAAAATTATTCTTAACAAAATGCAATTCTATATGGGGGGACCCAAAAAAAACCAGATATTTTGTATAAAAACTTTATTTATTAACTTTTTTACAAAATTTCTTCAGTCACCTTCAAAATACTCTCCATTAGATGTGATGCACTTGTGAAGTCTTTTTCCCCACTGTTTGAAGCATCTCTGGAACTTTTTAACCTTGATATTGTCCAGTGCCCTTAGCAAAGCTGTTTTTACCGCCACATCATCAAAACGCTTCCCTTTTAGATTTTTATTCATTCTCGGAAACAGAAAAAAGTTGCACGGGGCTAGGTCTGGTGAATACTGAGGGTGGGGAACGACAGGCCATCCCGAGAGCCAAATAGTGAGTCACTCGTAAGGCCATGTGTGCGGGGGCGTTGTCGTGATGAAGGAACCAGTCACCTGATTGCCAAAGTTCTGGGCGTTTCCTTTGCACATCCTCTCGCAGATGTCTTAAAACTTTTTTGGCAGATTTTTTTCAATGTTTTCATCATTTTGAGATGTTGAAGGATGCCCAGAACTTCGCAGGTGGAATAAAATAACAGTAAGAGAAACACAACACTATGCTGAAACGTAAACCTACAAACTGACACTGCCTGCACAGCTATTTCGTGAAGGTCTCTACTAACCCCATCTAGCAGGAGAACTCTCTACTACATCTATGAATGGCAGCGCGCACTCTCAGTTTGGTTTTTCTTAGGTCCCCCCTCGTAACTGTTAATCTAAAGTGTTAATTTTAATAATTTATCTAGCACTTTAATATTTCTTCCCACAATTATTTTCTTAAAAAACACATTTTCAGCCTCTTTATTGGCCTGTTCAGATATATGAATTTCTTTAAAAATATTTGTTTTTTAAGAAAATAATTGCTGGAAGAAGTATTGAAGCAGTAGGTAAATTATTAGTTATCTCATTTCCAGCTTTTGTGAATGTTTTTGATGATAATTTGATTAGATTTTAATGAAATTAATAACTAAAATAATGTTTAATTGTTTAGATCTTAATCAATGCACATATATTTAAGAATTAAATATTAATTTTTATGCTTACTCTTTATTCCAAAATTAAAACATAGCTACATAAAATTTTATTCAATGAATTATTATTTCAGATAATGCTTATAGTTGTGATCCAAGAATTGTAAAATTTAAAGAAGAAGAAAAGCAAAGAAAACTTGCTCAGAAACGAGCTAAACAAGAAGCTCAGAGAGCTAAAATAATAGAAGAAGAAAAGGTAAGTTAAAAAATAAAATAAGCTGGTAAGAATTAAAAATTGGACAGTTTATTTTAATCAGTATTTTTAAATAGTAAAATAAAATCAGTCTTGTTAATTTATTGAGTTATTGGAGAAAATGCTTAATTTACATTTTAAAATTTCACATTACAAAACATATTAAAATTGTTAAACAAAGAGAGCAGACATTAAATATTAATCTTTTTAATAAAATCTGTTTTGTTTTAGCTGTATGTTATGCTGACAGTTCTTTACCAATTTGTGTCATATATAATAAGCTTGTTTTTGTTGTTGTTGTTCATTTGCCTGTACAAATAGGTATTTACATTGTACTAATAAAATAAATAAATAAAAGTAAATAGCAATGAAGCAAATTTTCTATTGTTTTACACTTGAAATTTATTGTTTTTGCTCTATATCTATAGTGTCAGAATTGAGGCACAGAACTTGTCAATAAGCTTATGGTACCAAGAAACCATAAACTTTTCCAAAGTTATTTATTCATTTGACAAGAACTATAGCACAATAGTAATGAAAAAGAAACAGTTTTAAGGTTAAGACAACAATGTTTATGTGGTGAAGGTTCAAAGATCATGTTACAAAGGCAATTTGCCAATCACTTTAAAGTGTAGGAAGATAGTTTTCTTGCATTTATGATATAATTTATGATCTTAACAGCTTTTCAGTAAAGTATCTTTTACTTTCTTGGCTGTTATATACATTTTTGAACTTGGAACCTTGAAATATTTGCAAAATGATAAAAACTTTTGGGGTAGTTTCTGTATGTATGGAGATTAGTCTGTGTGGAGGGCACAATTTTGTTTACCCTCTTTGAAGCTTAATAACTCCTGTGCTTTTTGTCAAAAATTTCTGAAGTTTGGCAGGGGGGTTGTTTATTAGGGGAATTGGCACTATTAAATTTTGGTGATTAAAGGTCGAGGGGGTGGAGAGATAAAGGGGTTCTGTATATCTTCAATAGGCTCAGACTTAATGACAATTTTACTCATCAATAGCATTTACAATTTTTTATTAAACCTATTCATACTCTCAAAATTAATTAAAAATATAAAAAGTTTTTCATAATAAAATATCATAACAGACGGCACCACCAAATGTTGATGGGAAAGTTAAGAAACTTGTTGCTGGACTTTTAATAAATTATTTATTGAAAAACAAAAATGTTCAAAACATTACACCTTCTTGATAAGTACAGTAGACCCTCCCCTTATAACACGGTAGATATGTTCCATGTTTTATGAAATTCATGTTCTACGAGTCCTTAAATACATGAGCCAATCATAGCCCGGCATGTGTGCAGTTTACAACAGACTACAGCTGTTTGAAAGGTTTTCTTCCATAAAATTAATTAGTTCTAGACTAATTTGACTCAACATTTCCAAAACATGTATAATTTTTTGGGAATAATCCATATAAACTATGCTATAAACAAAAAATTGTAGGATTACTTACCGAGTGTGCACCATTTGACGACACCATTGCTTAAGCTTGTTTTCATCGTGGAGAGGCGCATCGAACGGCAGGCACGTATTTTCTGATAAATTATTTTTCTGTGAAAAATTTTCTGAACTTTGGAGACATCATTAATATAAATATCATTTTTATGGCTGTTAAATAATAAATGGTTTTTAGTAGGTCCGCTGCTTGTTTAAACTCAACGGTTTGTGCAATATCCACTATTGGTCTAGATTCGACCAATCCTATCACAACATGAGTCAGCGATGACGTTTTACCATATCATACAAGTCTCTATTAGTGTGTTTATATGAATATGATCACAATTTTTTCACTGTTATATACGAATCTGTATCATATGAACCTGTTTTATAGGGGGGATCTACTGTACAAAGTAAACAAATCTCTATATCAAATTTCATTACTCACTTAAATCATAAATAATGTTATAAATGCAAGAATACCAAATACATTTGTTAACTCTCAAAGTGGCTAGCAAATCATCTTTGTAACTCAACATTCAAACTCTCATCGCCTAAACTAACTTTCATCCACCCTTCTGTTCATAATAACAGTTTCATTTTTTTTCTTTTGTTACTTTCACTCAGGTTGTTTTTGATGAATGAATTAATCAACATTACATTTTGTCATAATTTTTATGTTCCATCTAATTGTAATATTCTGTACAATCTGTTTGCCATTTAGAATTCANTCAGGTTGTTTTTGATGAATGAATTAATCAACATTACATTTTGTCATAATTTTTATGTTCCATCTAATTGTAATATTCTGTACAATCTGTTTGCCATTTAGAATTCAATTAAAATGAGATTTTTACAGCTTAAAAATTAAATAATATACTGTACAGTACATATACCCCGTATTTTAAATATATATGCTATGCATACTTTTTGGTATTTTCATATTCTTAATGCAAAAATGATGTTTTCTTAATCCATTGTATTCTTCACTTTATAATGACCAGGTTAAAATACAATATAGCTGCTGGTATATACCAGTACAATAGCAGACAAACTTCTTGATTCTGGTGGTATCTACTATTCGGAGATTATGCTGTATTTAAAATGTTCAAAATAGTAATGTTGGAAAGCATTGTTAAATTATACTTAATCTTTTTCATGTAATTTATTATCATAAATAATATTACTATTTTATTATCAAAAATATAATTAAAATGTTATGCTATTTAAAAATATTCATTGTAAACTGTTTGCAATATGCAAGTTGATTTATTAGTTATATTCAATTTTTTTTATTTGCAATCAGTTGTGTGAAAAGATACATTAGTATTACTTTCAATTTTATTATTACTATTATATGTAAATAATAATAATATAATATTTTCTAAAATTAAAATCTCAATTTATTAATTTTAGAAATCTTATTAAGTACAGAATCCAGTAAATTTATGTAAAATAGACACAATGAATGTTTATAATTACATATTAAAAAGTTTTCCTATATTAAGAAGGTAAGACTGAGGAAAACACATTATGGAACCAAAAATTTTATTATAAAATGAATGACAATGTATATTTGGTTTAATATAATAATATATTTATAGAAAAAGCAAGAAGCTCTAGAAGCACAGAGACTAGTAAAACAAAAGGAGGAGGAAGAAGCTCGAGCATTGGTAAATTTTAAGAATATTATTCTTTGTGCAGTGCAATCCACTTATTGTGACAGATTTTTCTGGAATGCTCAAATTAATATCATTAAGATTAAGCCAGAGATTAGAATGGAAGTCAAGTTGTCTCGGGATTATGCAGGAGGTTGTCCTGACATGATTGCAAACAGGAGACAATTAACATTTGTTGGGTGATGATGGGTCTATGTATTGATCATGTAATTGTGTTTTATCTATTAAATATAGTGACAATGTTTTGGCAGAAGGGTATGACCCATAAATTTTTCATATTCAAGCTCTATAGTGCTTTTACTTAAGGAAAACACTGTAAATTGTCCAGTAAAATGCATTATTGGGTCATTAATAGTATTGATTCTATGGCTTTATCACAAGATCTGATCTTTTAGGCAGTTTTTTGGCTTCTAAAAAATTCAACAATTGAATATTTAGACTTTAAATCTATTTCTGAACAACAATTAATTATTCTGGTCTCAAATTTTCAGATATTATCAGATATGATTTTAATCAAAATAGATTTTCATTTTCATCTGTTGACATTTTAAATAACTTTGTAATTTTAAAGTCTTTTATTATATTGTAGTAATGCTTTACAATCTTATTACTTTTATTGTACATTTACATATTACAGTTTACTGAGTTTGCTTGTTCTCAGTATTTTAAAATCAGTTGTATGCTACACGATTGAAAAGTAATTTTACAAAACCAGGTTATATACAGCACACTGGACTATAGATTTACTGCAAACATTACTTGCAAACAGTAGGTTCATCATCATCCTAGATTTGACTTCTGCAAATTTTCACATTTTCCCACATTTGAAGGAACAATATACATGGTTGCCATTTTGATTTTCATACCATTTGCTTTATTGTATGGTATTTATCATTATTTGTCTTAATTAGTATTTTATATATCAAATGTTTTATTATTTTGTTATTTACTTGAAGCATTTTATAGCTATTTGTTGTTTTAATTATATGCAGCTATTATTAAAGATAGTATTGCAAAAGCAGCAGGCAAACAAAATTGAATGAATTATTGTTAATTAATAATAATAAATTAATTAATTAATTATTAATATTATTAATTAATAATAATAATAGTAGTAGTAATAATAAAAGAGTTGTAATAAAATTTCTCTGTGTGAAGTTTTAAATTGAAGCCATAGCACTGAAATATCTAGACATAACCATTAAAAAATTGGTAAGAAAGACAACATGCATTTGCTCAGTTGCATTAAAAAATTTGTAGATTTTGTTATGTTTGTAATTTGCAAATTCAACAAAGAACAATGTCAAAATATAAAAGCTCAGGTTTATAACATTAATCCAAGTGCTCCAGTAAACTAGATTTACAGTGTTATGAAACATTTTGGAATTGTCATCAAACTGTTTATGATGTGGTAAAAAAGACTAAAGAGAGTGGCCAAGCAACAGACAGAACTCCCCGATCTGATAGAATTGTTGAATAGATGCCTCAAAAAATTGTTGTGATTTTAAAAACAGCATAAAAACTTCTTTTTATGTAAGAAAAATTATGAAATCAGCCAATGTAAATTATCATTATCAAGTTGATGCTTCAAAATCAATGGATAAACAATAGTAGCAGCAAATGGAAAGACTAAAAACCATGGCTGCAAAGTTTCCAGAAAATTCAATTTGTGATGATTGTTCTTATTTTTCAGTTGAAAACTTAACTAAAACTAGATTCTACACACAAAATAAAGAAAATGTGTCTTCCGAATAAAATGTAAGGGTCAGAAAAATTTCTGAAATAACTGAGTTTGAATTGCAGTCAGCAAAATGTCATTTAGAACCTTATTTTGTGCCTGCAGATTTACTCTTGATGCCAAAAATACTTATCTGAATGTATTTAATCTAGATTGAAGCTGTTCACAAAAACTCTCCTCAATAATTAAAAAATATTTAAGTTATATACACTTTTCACAATTTTGATATCCTTTTAATATCAGAGTTAATGAAACCAAAATTTCCATTGATTGCAGTCTTATTTACTTACTTCACTTAATGTTATTGATTGATTATTATCATTAGTATAGGTGATTTCCAGAGTGATTACAATAAGTGGATTTTACTATAATTGAATTTTTATTGTTGTTGTAATGAAATTTTTATTCTTAATTAATCACAAATCACTCTTGATTCTGATGAATCAGCAATGAATTGTGATTAAATAAGACTTTTTATTGTTAATATTATATATTTTTGTCCTGATGTTTTTTTTTATTTTTAAATAATTTATACAAATTTATGTAAAGTAAAAACAAACATCGGCATAGCCTTAATCAATAAATATCATTCATTTCAATTTTTATTTTACAAGTTTTGTTTTGATTGAAATGCTAAAATAAATGAATACACTTTATTTATGCCCACAGAAATATTTTTTTGTTCTTTTGAACATAAATACATATGTTTACATTGTAATGGAATATTGAAATGAAATCTTTTTGAAGATACTTTAGTTAGCAAGTAGAATCCAAATTTTGATTAAATTCAATATCTCTGGTATTAACAATGTACATAACTGAAATAATGGGATGGAATAACTATTTACAAGGTTGTTCATGTGTAGATAATGATGGAATAATAAATTGTCATTACCTCTATACGTGAGCAAACTTTGTAAATAGTTATTCCACCCTGTTATTTCAGTCTAATACATTGTTAATACATGAAATGTATCAAAACTTGCTCATCTGCAGGTGTCTTTTGATATCATTGATAAAACATAATTTTGGAGTTAAAATGTGAAAAAAAAAAATGTGTATTTTAGAATTTAGGAAATAAGGCAAAAACAAACTAAACAGAAATCTTGATTTAAAAAAAGTAGTCTCATGAAACTATTATACAGATGTAAAGTAAAAAAAGGAGAATATCAATGCAATGTAATGATATTTTTAATATTGGTGTGATGATATATCAAATTGATATTTTTTGATATAATATTTTTTCCTTGCCAAAATATATGCATTCTTATGCTTGCTTTGAGCATAATACTGGTAGTTAAGTTATAGTATATTACTACAAACATCATTATTAATATAATAAATGTTTTTTCCATGATCTGATTATAAACTGAAAATATTTTAATGTGCTGAATTAGAATAACTGTTTGAATGAAATTAAATAATGAATAAAATTGTACATAATTGAAAATGTTAAATTATAGAGGGAGAAGGAAAAAAAAGAAAAAGAAGCTCATAAAAAGATGATCAAAAAAGAAAGGAAGACTTTACATCAGTTATGTGAATCATCTGGTTATTTTGCTGAAAATGATAGTGAAAAAGTTGATCATTTACAGGAAGTTGATAAATTATGCAAACTGTTGTCATTGGAAAGGTATTTTTTTCTGATAAATTGAGCAATTAGTTTTATTCTTAAATATAATTATCTGTATTAAATAATTTATATCTTACATTGTTTATTTTTATTTTTCCTTTGTACTTAGTTATTTAATTCTTTAAGTGTAAATTCATGAACTTAATAGTTAAAGTGATATAAATGATATAAAAGTAAATAATAATTTGTGTTACTTATAATTTATATATATATATATTGTAAGTAAATAGTATATAACAGTATAGAATTTACTGGACTGGATTTAGCAGACAAAAATATCTATTCTAAATATTTCTGGATGAACAGATCAATGAGAATGAGGTATAAATTACTCAATATATTGTACATTATAATAATAATTTCTTTGTACTTATATATTGTAACAAAATTTTAAAACATTCTGCCATAATATGTTTGTTATTAATTAATGTGTTTTTTAAAATACATCCAATTTAATAGACTCAGCATTAGTGGATACTCCATTTGACAGTTAGTCTGTTAAATCAAGGTTCTGTTGTAATATATTTTAATGCTTTCAAAATATGATAGGATAAAATCTTCAAAAAAATATGTGTATTGCCAAGGAAAGTTTCCTTTATTGTGAGAATAAAGTAGAATTTTCTTGGATTTAAATATTGGACTAAAATGAGTATGTTTTGTAGCTCCCAAATCTACATTAAAACTAATAACTTAACAACTCTGCTAAATGGGAAGAGCTTATCACATCTTGACGTGACAGGCCTTTTCCATTTAGCAGTGTTGTTAAACTATTAGTTTTAAATATTGGAATTTAGTCATAAATTAAATTTACTAATTATATAATCTTTATTGTAACTTATAAAAGATTTTACATGGGTGATAAAAATCAGACCATATTGCTATGTTTGGCACTCTTTTAAAATGTTTTATTATTTAGCCTAGATTTAATATAGAAAATGCTTATATGTTATAATTACAAATTAACATAATAAAGCAGTTTTGTTGAAAATATTATGAGACTTAGCAATAAAATGGCCTAATAACAAAAAAAATTCTTTCAGTAGTAATATTGAATTAATACTTCATAGAATTTTGCACTATAATATTTTTTAATAAGTATTTTAAAAATCTTTTATAAACACTAGTAATGGACATAGAATATTATTATTGTTTGTGGAATATAGAATTGAATGCAAAGCATATCATATGATTGTATTGATTTATAGTTTTGATCTAATGATTTTATGATTTAATTAATGATTTATTTGAAGCATAATGATATAATTTAAATTTCCATATTATTGTTAGTTCTTATTAGAGGAAAATTATAATTTTTTTCCTAAGTTTTTTTGTGTTATTTTTAAAAACTTATGCGAAAAGGAAAATACATAAAAGACATATCAAATGTGAATAGGGAACAGTAGTGTCAGAAACTAAGTTGATAGAATATTGGACTAACTCATGATTAAACTAAATTAGATGGGGTTCTTATTCCAAGCAAATACATGCCATTTTATTTTTATATAACTTTTGAAAGTTTAAATTTTGTTTTAAAAAATAGTAATAACTAACCAAAAATCTTAAAATTTATGACACACACACATGCCAGGTAAATTTTTTTTTTTTTTAAATTTTATCTTTATCCTTAAACACAATCAAACAAGAACATTATGTGGTTGCAAAATATCTTTATCTTATGAATTTTTTTATGCAGCATCTATATTTCATGTATCTTTGTTTGCTTTAAAAGTCAGTAATTAGTAGATTATTTGCTTTTACTTGATAGAGTTTTGTATATCTCATGGTATGGAACTAAACATTTTTTGAAGCTCTGTTTTAAACTGTGCTGTTTTTAAGGATCTACATTTAAAAATTATATTCTAATTGTTCAATTAAGTTGGTATATTCCAATACTTCTTTAAATGTAAAACTTGAAACTTTGGAATTTTCATATGAACTATCTGTCATGTAATGATTTTTTTTCTTTACCTCTGATATCATTTCTATCAAATCAGCTTGCAACCTGTTTTCTACCTGTAATTCTTGAATGTCTTCAGTAGTTGTACTTTAAGATCTTTTCCTCGTACTTAGTTAACAAGATTTAAATGTAGATAAAAGACAGGATTCACAAAAAAATAATAGAAATGTTGAAAAATTATATCTAGCATAATAGCAGGGAATTTTCTGCAGAAAAATTTAAAAATATTATATGATGTTAGCTGAACTCTCTAAGCATAATAGTTTGTATCACAGAAGTATACCCAACCTGCAAATTATACAGTAGATTAGTTTTGTGTAAAATTGAAATTGTAAATTGAGACTAACATATGGGAAATGCAGGGATAAGTTCCAAGGTTCTATTTTCTGTTAATCATTATAAAATGAATGAAAATAAAATTTTATTTTCTATTTTCTTTATTTGTTAAGAAAGAAACAAATCTCTTATTATTTTTTTTTTTTACCTGAAAAATCTTATGTCACTTCCATTAGTGACTTTTTTGGTCCAAAGTTTTATTCTTCTTAGTTTACTGAAGACATTTATAGCTTTGTCTCAATAAAATCTGTTTTAAGCTTGTAGTTCTATTTAATTCTTTATTAATTTTATGATATTGTGCTAATTAATGCATGTGGTATAAATAAAGTCTTGACATAGTAAAAAATGAGAGTTTTGTACTCTGAATACAACTTTGAACATTGCAATGTCATGGTTGTAAATTCATAATAATTTGCATAAATCTAAATATTAATTTTATCCATGAAAATATAATAAAAGAATATTTTAAAATGCTGGATTAAAATAAATGTACTGTAAAACTCCAATTACTCAGATGCTGATTATCTGGATTACACTCAGACTTTGTTAAAAAATAAATAGGCATGTAAATATATATGTGCTGTACATGCATGAAAGGTAAGCTTTTCTACTTGCTGAAAATAAACTATATTCATTTTCACATTTAATATTTTATTTGCACACAATAATATATATATCTACATAACAGTGTGTTTCAATAGAAAAAAAAGACTATTTTCAGTAAAATCCAATTATCTGGATGGTCCCAAGTTCCAATTAATTCAGTTTTGAAGTTTTACTGTATTCTAATTTAGTTCATTCCTGTGGAGTTGATTATTACAGACTGTGATAAATTGAAACTATTATATAAAATGACATTTTTGTCATGTCTTTCCAACTGTGTTAAATTGAAATTGTGCAGTTTGAATACTGAATGAATTGTAGTTTAGATGTATTGTGTTAAATTACCTGTATAATAATTTATTACTTTAACTTTCAATAATTATTTATAGATTACAGTCATTAAATGAAAAGTTACAAGCAGAAACAAATGGAAGAAGAGAGATTTTCTTATCTGAGGTTGGTAGTCTTATCTTTTTCTTCAAAATAACAATGCATTATGTATGGAAAATTTGATCAATACAAAATCTTCCTCAGTTATTTCTAGCCGTTTATACACAAGTACAAATGTTTTCGGCCTTCTTAATAGGCCTTCTTTAGTTACACTGTGGTCTGTTAGAGCGTCAGTTGGTAGAAGTTTAAACGGTGTCAATGTATACATAGGTATCGTCTTACTAGTGATGTCATCATTGATGATAGATATAGACGATACCGAGGGCGAAAAATTCCTTCTTTTGGTAAAAAAGGGAGGTGTGCAGATAGTTCATGCTGGGATAATCACTAAAGTTGGGGAATAAAATTGTAAAATAAGCACACTACGTAAAGGAGATGCACTATCGTGATAGGGGGTGACGTCATAGTTGATGCCATAACTAGCTAACGATATAGTCAGAAAAGGCATGCGAACAATCATAAATGGGAAAGGTGCTATGTTTGGAAAGCAGAATTGGAAAACTCTTCTAAACTCTTCAACATTATCTCCCAATAACGAAGATACAAAATCATCTTTAGTAAATGTTTAGCAACAAAAGAGAATGTTTTAATATAATAATTAGGAATTATTTAAAGGGAATATAATAATCCATTAGTGATTCACTAATGGATTATTATAGGCCTGACAATCCAAAATAATCCTTTTAAGAAAAGTACTACAGAGTATGTTTAATGAATATAAGTTAGAAGGCATTTAGAGAGAATAAATATCAGTTTAATTTAAATTTGTTTTCTGTTCAATGGTCAGATGGCTAAGGCAGCTAAGCTGTCAACTTACATTCTGGGAGACCTGGGATTATACCCAAGCAGGCAATAATCCCAGAAATTTTTCAGACACATTGTCTTTCAGATATGTCAGACCTTGTCTCTCCCGGCTATCCCCATTGTGGGTCTGGCCAAACCTAAGATGACAGATAAAATGCCTCTTAGGCCCACAGGATGGTAAGAATCAAAAATGAAAAAAGTTTTCAGTTCTTTGTATTTTAATGTTTTATTTTCATACTTAGAGAGTATAATAAATTTCTCTTAAAAAACAGAGTAAACCAATTTAACATTTTCAATTAATATGGAAATTATATCTGAAATTTACTTTTATTTTTCTGGCTGTTATGTATACAAAATAAAATAAACAAACGCCTTTCTCTATGTGTATGGGCATGCGCTTTAGCGTTAAGTTGTGAATAAGTGCTTTGAATTTATAATTTATTTTGTATACTAGTACTTTCTATATATTAACAGGACTTATTATACTGGAAAATTATGGATGCAGATATTTAGTCTTACAGTTCAAAAATAATGTTCTTTATTTAGTTCACCTGAATACAGGTGAACTAAATAAAGAACATTATTTTTGAACTGTAAGACTAAATATCTGCATCCATAATTTTCCAGTATAATAAGTCCTGTTAATATATAGAAAGTACTAGTATACAAAATATTTTATAAATAGTTAAAAAGGACTAAAAGGCATAATAATTAAGCGCTTTGAATTTTGTATTTTTTGAATACTTTGTTCGTTATATGGATCGAATTTGAACTGAGGAAGATTGCTTAAAACGGCCAAAAACGTTTTTTAACGCATTAAACGTTGTGCTGGAATAGAGAAAGGTGTTTGTTTATTTTATTTTATTAATTCCAGTAAGCATTTATTTATTTGTTATGTATACATAACAAATTAAAGTATTTGAATCGTGTAAAATTTGACCCTCCAAGTTTTTGCAAATCTCCATGTTTTGAGACCCTCTGAACCCCAAAAAAGTGAAAAAAAAAAATAGCAAAAAAATTCCATTAGTATATGTGTTGGCATCTATTTTGCTTAATATCTCAAGATTGGGCAAAGATAAAGAAACAAAATTTGGTATGGTAGCTTGTATATAAAGGGCATTGATGCTATTAAATTTTGGTTGTGAAAGGTCAAGGGGATAGAGATAGAAAGTGGTTATGTGTCATATCTCATGAGGTTCAGACTTAATGAAGATTTACTTGTTAGCATTTACAGTGTTTTATAAAACTCACCTCTACTCTCAAAATTAAGTCTTTTGTTATTTTATAATAATAAAAACTGGATTAAAGTTTTATAACAAAATCTAATTTGGTTATGTATCTATATAACAAAATCTCATAACAGATGTCATCACATACAGTTTTAGTTATTATAATATAAAATTTATTAAATAATATAAATGTTATTTTTAAAATAAAATCTCATAAAAACCAGGAAAGTTATGCAATTCATTGCTAGATTTTTTAAATAAATTATTGAAATATTTCAAGTTAAATTTTATTCATTTCTTAGGTTAAAATTTTAAATGAGCAATTGGAAAAAGAAAAAGAACAACTTACAGCTGCCTCACAGAAATCTTCAACAGGAGTTGGAGATAATAATAATCAAAAACATTGGAGTCATGATGATCTACAACTATTAGTTAAAGCTGTAAATCTGTTTCCTGCTGGAACAATAAATAGGTACAAATATTCATATAAGATTGAAAGTTATATTGATGAAAATATTTTCCTTAGTTTTTTAAAAATGTGTAATTATTTATTTTAATTATTTTTTAAGATGGGAAGTTGTTGCAGCTTTTATATGTCAGCATAGTTGTTCTGATACAAAAAGGACTGCAAAAGAAGTATTAGCAAAAGCTAAAGATTTACAAAAGTTAGGTAATATTTAATTTACAAACCTATACTAACTTTTTATTAGAATAGCTGATAATCTAAGTCAATCTGATCATAAATATGAATTCATTAATTTTTGTGTTTACAAATTATTTTGCCACTTATGCATAATACATAATAAATTATACAACAAAGCTCTTATAATGTTTAAGTGGAATTAGAGTCTGATTGGGTTGCAATTTGAGAAAATTGGAAACATAAATTTCCACTATTTTCGTCTGTCTGTCTGTCTTTCTTTCCTTAATCTCAAGAATGGAATTCAAGACCAGATATGGAAAGTTAAGGGACAGAATGCCTCAATTAACTATAACTATATTTTATGAATTTCTGATGCAAAGTGAAAGTCACATTATTTCAATTTAAAAAATTTTTTCCTGAATGAAGTTAGATGACCAACATGACTGTGTTGCTAACAGTAAAGTATGATGTACAGGGGTAAGACACTACAGTACTAATTTGAGGTGGAGAGCATAAATTCTAAATTAAATAAATTAAAAATATGATTAAAAATTGAAGCCCAGCATTGTGACGATGCCACAATGAATAATTGCTTGTTATTTATTACAGAGTGAACTAGAAACATAGTGCAACTAAAAATCAATTGTGGGATGCATAACAAGACTGACAGTCTGCATGTTTCCAACCAACCTATTACCTCACAGATTCAAATGTTATTCTTTGAATATATAATAAATGAATATTTTAAGATATAAATGTTTCTTGCAATGTGTTACATAATAACAAGTATGGGTAGTTCTCACAGTATCACCAAATTTACTAAAGTTGTTTGTTACTTGGTAGCTTCACATAAGGAAGCTGGATGGCCAAGGCATATATTACTTTAATATTAGTGAAAGTATGATTAAAAATGTTTTCAAATAAAATAAAATCTTTGTAAAAATTATTTTTGACAATAACTTTTAACTAGAGATGAATGAATTATCACTTTTCTGAAATTCAAATATTAGTCAGATCTCAAATAATTTGAATACTCGAGTACTTCATATACTTAGTGAAATCAATCATGGTACCTTATATAACTTTAGTTAATAATTTAATATTTTATTATTTAAAACTTGTTCTTATTTCTATACATGTTATTAATGTATAGAAATTGTTGAGACCTGTTATTACTGTATTTCTATACATTAATAAACAGGGTCCATACAGATCTGGGAAGTCAGGGAATAAGATTTTTAGCAGAAAAAGTCAGGGAAAGTCAGAATAGCATCAAATGTCAGGGAATCAGCATATACTGAGGAATTCGTCTGTCGTTCTCACTCCTTTTTGATCTGAATATGTCTTTAAATTCTGTTCGATATAATGGGGGTCTACGAGAACTGGAGTGACCAAAAGAATGGCAAGATTTGCCATGCTTCTGTCATGTAAACTATAAATGATAATCTAATAATTAAAATTTTGTTTGATAGAGGGTTTATGTTTGTATTTAAAATGGTGGATAGTGAGGAGTGCAGCTATGAATGGGGTTTGCGATTGTGTGTGAACACTGAAAATGGCATTGCTGCATGGCATTTGAGAAGTGTATAACTTTGGATACAAAGAGATAAGACATTAAAATTGGTGTTAATTTGCACAGAATGACAGTATCTACAATATTACTTAGCAATAATAACTGATAAAATAGAATTTGTAAAGTTATAAGCTGATAACTATGTGAGTTGAAGAAATTTTTCATAATGTGGAAGGAATTGCAAAGGAAATATGAACAGAAATGTAAGAAACATATATCATTGGAAAGAAAAATTTAAAAGGAATCGGAAATGCTCAAAATGACTAATGCCAAATGATGCAGATTGTATAGAGAACAGAAGAAAACTGAGTGTGTCAACTCTGACATGAATACATGAAGTCCGTTGTCACTTGAACTGATAGATATTGACTTGGAATACAATAACCAGCAAGACTTTATTCATTTACATCTTATCCTTCCTCTAATAACACAAAGACGGATTCATGCCTTATACAATTATGATTGTCCTGTACAACCTTCCCAATTTTTTTGACCTGCAAACATCTGGTTAATTAAAGCTATGTTCAGTCATTATTTGAGAAAATAGAAGATAGTTTTAGTTTGATGAATGTATATTAATGTAAATAAATTTCAGATGCTGGTTTGAAGGAAGAAGTAAATAAAAAAGCATATGAAAAAATGGGTAAATCTCAAAAATGTAGTTCTGTTGCCTTAAAAAATGATTCAACTTTAAGCGAAAGATTTGAAAGTAAGCATGAAAACTATTATTATATATTATATATTAACTAATATATTTTTTAAAAACTTCTATATAAAATTTAGAAAATTACTAATAACTTCTGATTTTTGCTGATAAATTTTAATGTAACTGTTTTTATAAAGAAATTTTTTGGATTCCTTAATACTTTCAATAGTTGTTTGAATGTTTTTATTGAATAAGGAATCAATTATTGTAATATGGTGTATAAGTATTTGAATTACTTTCTTGAGAATGTTTAAAATGAAGTAATCTGTAATTATTAATGCCAACTTTTGTTGCATATTATCATTTTTTTTTAAAATAAATAATAGATTAAAAATTTTCAAACAGTATTTAAAAAATAATTTCACTTGAAAATGATTGATTTCAATAATTTTTTAAAATTCAGATCAAGCAGAAACAAATGAAGTTAATTCTGCTCCATGGACTGCTGAAGAACAGAAATTATTAGAACAAGCCCTTAAAACGTATACGACCTCAACTCCCGATCGCTGGGATAAAATTGCGCTCTGCATACCTGGACGAACTAAGAAAGAATGTATGAAGAGATACAAGGTACAGAACATAATTTATGTTTAAAGATGCAGTATAAATTTATTGAAAATCAATTTGTTTACAGGATTTAGTGGAAATGGTACGTGCCAAGAAAGCGGCTCAAGCTGCAGCATCATCCAAAAACAAAAAATGACATTTAGTGTTGTCTAGCTGTTATTATATGATAATATACTGTATTTTATTTTGTGCAATAGTTTCCATTTATTTAAATATAACCCAAAAACCGGTTTTGTATCTTTTGATATATTTAATCTCACTTCAAAAAACAAAGTACATCAAGTTTAAAATAATATATTGGATGAAATATGACAGTTTGTTTTTCAACACAAAATGTTAGTGTTAATAGTTTGAACATATATTATTCATAAAATGAATATAGTAAACCATGGATAAATTACAGTTGTAACAATCCTAAACAGCTTTGTTTTGGAAATAAAATCAAATAATTAGTTTTATTTTAATTTATTTACTTATAGAAAAACTATTAATCATCTCTTATAACTAACACTTTAGACTCCTGTAAATTGCAAAAAGTTTTAAACAAAATAATTTTTGTACATTAATCTTCTGTAATTATATGTTCTAGAAGTTGATATGTACTGTATTTTATGACTTACAAGACACAAAGACATCTCTTTACATTTTAAATTCAGTAATAATAATCAAATATTTAATATATACACTATACTTTGTGACTATTTATACTAGTCATACTTTATGACTAGTATAAATATTCTACTATGAAATTATATTTTGAAATGTTATATTTAAGTGCATTTTTTTCTTGGTATGATATTTCAAAATGTTTCCATGTGTCTTAGTTTAAAATACAGTCTATGGGAAATTAGCTTGATTTATGACGACTCACTTAGCTTTTCTAGAATTATCATAAAAATAAGACTATAGTATAAGATTAAGACTAAGTATAAGTTATATACTGTAGATAGATTCATTTTACTGGAAGTGAATCAGTGAATAAAACATATGAACATACTATAAGCCTTATTGACATGAACAGCTATATTTGGGAGACCTCATTAGCTTATATGATATGAGTTACACTATTATATATTGGAAGTAGGTTGATTTGAATGCTATAATACTAGTAAAGAAATAATGATATTTAAAACCCTGTTCACACTTAATTAAAGTGACTTATTGTGCATAGTCCTTGAGCATTTACATTCAACATTACAGTTTAAATAAAAAATTTTTGCTTATTTTCAAAAAATAATAATCAAATTAATTTAATTATTTAATTTATAATTTAATTACTAATTTCAAATAATATTTTTAAATTGATGCTTTATCTAATATGAATTAAAACCTTTGACCTCAAAAACTGACTTAAGTTTGTATTTGAAAGCAAATTAAGCTGATTCACTTTTTTCGTATTTAAGTTGGTTTCATTCACATTATGTTGATTAAGCTGATGCTATTGTTTAAGTTGGCTTAAAAAATAGAATGGAAACAAGTGTATATAAAACAAAAGCTTTTTAATGAAAAACAACACTTAAATTATATCACTGCCTGTAAAATATATTATTATTAATATAAGTATGTAATGTAATTTACATAATACTTTTTATTTTAATCAATAATCAGTAACATAAATCATCTCAATAATATGTTCTTGGAACAGACAAAGTTATAAATAAGATGGATCAACATAAAACTTATGACAAAAACATTAACAGAAAGCTGAAGTCAAATATTGACAGCTTAATGTGAACCAAATATTAAATTCTGTAGTAAATATTTTTGGGGGGAGATTATTAAAAATCTTTAAAAAACAAAGGGTATACAAACACATACAGCAAGTTCTTACTTAATGTCATCAATAGGTTTTTGGAAACTATGGCATTAAATAAAATGACATGACATAACTAGTTTTACAATAAGCTAAATGATAGAAAACTATTAACTGTAAACATGATCCAATTATAAACAAGATATAATTGAATCCCACTATTTATTTCCCATCTCTAGAATTAATGTCTATAGAAAAATGAATTTCAACAATAATAATTGTAAATTAAAAATATTGTTATCTTTCCTCAATGGCATTATAATGAAATAATGTTAAGTGCGAGCTTGCTGTATATATTAAAAAAGTAATTATAGAAAATATATACAGATATAACAACCAGGTGCCAATGTTTTAGGGATAGATTCTAGGGTTAAAAGTAAGCCTAAAATCCTCTATAAAAGTTTTTCAAAATCCACTTTATATTTGAGATATGGCCTGCCAAAAAAAATATTTTTTCAAATTCTCTGTCAAAATAGTAACACTAGATATTACATTAGCTTAATGTTCCAGAATTGATGTTTTCAATGATAAATAGCTGTTCACTGATTGTGATTTTGGTGTTTGGAACTAATCATACAAGGACTAACATTATTACTGTTTCAGAAGTATTTTATTACCAACAGGGCTGTGGAGTCATTTAAAAATCTACTGACTTCAACTTTGACCTTATCCACTTTGAGATTTTGCATTACTCATTTGTTTTACAGTAAAATAAAAATTGTTGGAAATTAAGTTATTCAAGCAACTTGTGTACATTAGCTAATGTATATCAAGAAAAACAATTTTTCAAGTAGTTATTTTTTTCAATTGTACAAAATACCCACTCAAAAATCATTTATTGTAGTTGAAAATTTATTCCACAAAAAGTTATGTATTATTTTATAAATGCTATAGTGTGAAAATGAAAAACATTGATCTTTTCTTATTCAAACTAAATGCATTTGATAATCAAATAGTATCTAAAGAATAAACCTCAATTTTAAAATATATATTATTATTTAAAGACATGTATACAAGTCATTTCAAAGAAAATTAATTTTTATATTAGAAATGACCAATTGCTTTATGTAATTCTGTATGTCATTATCTAGTGTTGGAATGTAATATATTTGGGACAGAAAAATTTCAAATTTAATAAAAACTACCTTAGAAAAATTTATTTAAAAATATAAATTTTGAATAAATCCTGTTGTAAAGATCTGAGTTGAAGTTGGCACATGAATAATACCAATTTTGATTTGTAAGGATGTAGTTGCTAAAATGAAGTACCATGTAACTTATTTACTAAAAATAAGTAATGATATGTAAAATGATATCTATTATTCTAATTTCTTAAATACCCAACTTTGTTAATTACTTTGAACTAAAACATTTAAAGTTAGAAAATATTTTTATTGATTCTTATATTATTATTTATACTACTACATTGATTCTAAAATACTAGAAATATAGAATTATAATTTTTGTCAAAGTTCTACATTGTTTCTAATACAATATTTTACAAACTAATGGTAATCTATTGCATATATTCTCTAGGCTAGGGGGTGGAAATGTATGGCACATCTGAAGAAATCATCCAGCATATAACATAACATATATACACAATTTTGATTATTTATCAGCTTCTTTTTCAATTATCATTTCAGTTTATCGCTTGGTCATCCTTTATCAATCAGCTTCTTTACATTTATTCTAATTAAAACACATTCATTTCATTTCTTTAAATATCATCATTCAGTCTATAGCTTCAACATGCATAAACATTTTTAAAGATAAATATGCTTATTATATGGCATGTGGACTCAAACAGGTTTGTCATCCTTGCTCTAGGCTATATTTTATTCAGAGTTAACTTCTTCTTCTTTAATGCTGCCGAATGGCGTTTGCGACTTCATTTTGATATTGTTCTCTGTCTAGCACTGTGTGTAGAACTTGTGCTGTTGTCATGTGAAACCAGGTGTTGATGTTATCTAGCCAGGCCGTTTTTGGTCTACCTGGACGTTTCTTGCCTTCAATTCTGCCCTCCAGGATGAGTGGCAGTAGATGGTATTTTTGGTAGTTCCTAGCAATGTGGCCTAGGTATTTGCATTTCCTGCTGATGATGGTTTTGATCAGGTCCTGGTCCGTGTGCATGTACTGCAAGACCTGTGCATTGGTTATCTTTTCCGTCCACGGAATTTTCAGCATTCTTCGGTAGACCCACATTTCGAAGGCCTGGAGCTTTTTTGTAGTGGCTGCTGTTAGAGTCCAAGTTTCTACACCATAGAATTGGCCAGATGTAGCATTTCAATGTGCGTAATTTGAGCATGATATTCAAGCTTCTGTCGGTAAGGAGTGTTTTCCATTTGGTAAATGCCTGCCTGGCTTGTTCGATTCNTCAAATAGTATCTAAAGAATAAACCTCAATTTTAAAATATATATTATTATTTAAAGACATGTATACAAGTCATTTCAAAGAAAATTAATTTTTATATTAGAAATGACCAATTGCTTTATGTAATTCTGTATGTCATTATCTAGTGTTGGAATGTAATATATTTGGGACAGAAAAATTTCAAATTTAATAAAAACTACCTTAGAAAAATTTATTTAAAAATATAAATTTTGAATAAATCCTGTTGTAAAGATCTGAGTTGAAGTTGGCACATGAATAATACCAATTTTGATTTGTAAGGATGTAGTTGCTAAAATGAAGTACCATGTAACTTATTTACTAAAAATAAGTAATGATATGTAAAATGATATCTATTATTCTAATTTCTTAAATACCCAACTTTGTTAATTACTTTGAACTAAAACATTTAAAGTTAGAAAATATTTTTATTGATTCTTATATTATTATTTATACTACTACATTGATTCTAAAATACTAGAAATATAGAATTATAATTTTTGTCAAAGTTCTACATTGTTTCTAATACAATATTTTACAAACTAATGGTAATCTATTGCATATATTCTCTAGGCTAGGGGGTGGAAATGTATGGCACATCTGAAGAAATCATCCAGCATATAACATAACATATATACACAATTTTGATTATTTATCAGCTTCTTTTTCAATCATCATTTCAGTTTATCGCTTGGTCATCCTTTATCAATCAGCTTCTTTACATTTATTCTAATTAAAACACATTCATTTCATTTCTTTAAATATCATCATTCAGTCTATAGCTTCAACATGCATAAACATTTTTAAAGATAAATATGCTTATTATATGGCATGTGGACTCAAACAGGTTTGTCATCCTTGCTCTAGGCTATATTTTATTCAGAGTTAACTTCTTCTTCTTTAATGCTGCCGAATGGCGTTTGCGACTTCATTTTGATATTGTTCTCTGTCTAGCACTGTGTGTAGAACTTGTGCTGTTGTCATGTGAAACCAGGTGTTGATGTTATCTAGCCAGGCCGTTTTTGGTCTACCTGGACGTTTCTTGCCTTCAATTCTGCCCTCCAGGATGAGTGGCAGTAGATGGTATTTTTGGTAGTTCCTAGCAATGTGGCCTAGGTATTTGCATTTCCTGCTGATGATGGTTTTGATCAGGTCCTGGTCCGTGTGCATGTACTGCAAGACCTGTGCATTGGTTATCTTTTCCGTCCACGGAATTTTCAGCATTCTTCGGTAGAGCCACATTTCGAAGGCCTGGAGCTTTTTTGTAGTGGCTGCTGTTAGAGTCCAAGTTTCTACACCATAGAGTAGAATTGGCCAGATGTAGCATTTCAATGTGCGTAATTTGAGCATGATATTCAAGCTTCTGTCGGTAAGGAGTGTTTTCCATTTGGTAAATGCCTGCCTGGCTTGTTCGATTCTGCTCTTGATTTCGGTCTCGTGATTCAGCTGGTCATCAATTAGTACTCCAAGATACTTGAAGCGGTGTACCTGCTCCAACTTTTCGTTATTTAATTTGATCGTGATTTCGCTAGGAGTCCTGCTGACCTTCATCACCTTTGTTTTCTTTTTGTTGATTCGTAAACCCCATGCTTGA